ACATTTCTGATTAATGCATTCCCAAAAAAGAGGGTTGATGTCAGGCAGGCGGGCCGGTTGTAAAAAAAACAATTAGCCAAAACTATTCACAACATGTTAAGGCAGACCCTGGCTATAGCCGGGAAATTGCCAGGTAGAAGAATTACGATTTAAATCTTAAATAATCTATTGTGTAAGTAAAATAAAACATCATTAAACTATTGAAACATTTTTATTGATATATTTATCTACATATATATATAAAATAACTTAGAATTGAATATTCCGATGCGTATTGGAATGTTGGCAACGAAAACATGAACGGATAATTAAATATTTTGCTTAAGAATTCGATTTTTATTTAATACATATTTCTTCCTCCCTTACTTGTTGTATGGGTTACCCTGCGAACAAAAACAAGATATAAGGAATTTTACACACTTGATTTAGTATATAATAATAAAAGAAATAATGAGTTTGTAGGCTGCCTTAAATAAACTTCTATTTTCATCCTATATACTGGAATGAATATAGTTGGTAGGGGAATTCGAAAACTTCGAATTTAAGTAAGATTATTGTATGAAATTTTGTTATATACATATACATATTTACTATAAAATTATAGATTTTACTTTATAACATAAATATATCTATCAAATTCTTAATAACTTAGTAACACACATACAAACAAATATATGTGTGTGTGTGTGTGTGTTACATTGAAATTAGTATCAATTAGGCTAGACGTGAATCTTTCAAGTGACTTCGTAGAACAGGTATGTATATTTAGCGTAAGTCAAAATCGGCCACTGGCTATACTTAGACCACGTTCAAGGATTTTGTCAAGGACGAAAACTGGCTCAAATTTAACATACCGTCGGGTATAGTGCTAGTTACTAATAAATTAAACACGAAATAATTACTAATAATGAAAAAAAAATGCCTTAAAAGTCGTTAATATAGAAAATATTTCAACTCAAACTTTCTTCTGATAATCTGCTTCCAATGTAGATACGCGGAATTATCTAATGCTAGTTACGCGAATTTGTGCTAACCCCGACGATATATATATACATATATTTATATGATTATATATTCCCTAGTATATAAAAGTTAGGTATACAATAAATATAATCTTTTTCATATATTTTGTTATAACGAATCTAAACAATACTCTGCTATACAATTCCATACAAAACATTGTAGCGTTGTTAAAATCTCCCTAATTCTATTAATAGTACAAGCGTTCGCTCGTGTTCGTAGTCGTTATGTTGGCATTACTGGATTAATTTAGAAAGAGATAGCAATAGCACTACCAACATAATAAAATTACGGAAATATATTTGTTTTGATCATCAAATTTTCTCTTTCATTTTAGATACTTATTATTGTATACTAGAAAACCCGGCGATCTTCGTATCCCCCTTTAATCAAGAAATATCTATTACGTTTTTTTATTTATATTTTTGGAGTTTACCTGTAAGCCATAAATCTCCGTGTTTTGAAGTGCGACAGAATGATTGACATATTAGTTAGTTGTCAAATCTAATGTCAAAAAAAAAACGTTTGTATCGGAAATAGAAAAGGGCTGTTTTTATGGTTTTCCCAGTAATGAATAATTTTTTTTCAGCTTTTAAACCTTCCCTGAACCTCCACGAACATTTCAAGACTAAGATAAGATAAACCCGTTCAGCTGTTCTCGAGTTTTAGCGAGACTGAGGAACAGCAATCCATTTTTATATATATAGAAGATTAAATATTATTTTAACAAATAAATTAAATTGTTATCTTCACTGACTATAGATGGCGATACTGTATTTTTGGAAAAGCTACCATTTCAATTAAGAATTTATTTTGTAACGCGACATGCGACAGATGGTTGAAAATATCTTGAAACTTATGAAGCCGTAACAAATTCTGTAGTCATGTGATAGTTTAATTTAAGAATCCAATACTTAAAATTAATATAAGTAGAGAATTATAAATAGCACAATTCATAATTTTAATTATTAATACATACATATATAAGCCCATATAACATATATTTGACAGATTTCCACAAAACCACTAAACTAGTTTAAAGAATCAAATCTTCTCTATACTGTTTAATTATATATTGAAATTTTCATTTTCAATTATGGTTCAATTGAAATTCTGTGATTAGTACTGAAATTTTTCATTCACCTTTAAAATAATTTCACATATGACATATAACAATTTATTATACAATATGCAAAACTTTCTATTGATTTGTACGTTAATATAATATATATCCATTTTATTATTATATATATGCCATTAGCTGGCACGTGGATAGATTAAAACGCATTCAAGTAAACAAAGATAAATGGAACATAAAACATTAATTACAAACAAAATTATATATATAAATTATTATATATTTCATTACGAAATATATACTGAACAAATTTAAACAAAAACAATTTAAAAAATGTGGTCATAATTAAAGTGTTTTAATGAAAATGAAGCAGTCATGCCAAGGACCGTGCAAAGTGGAGGAGTTTGAGCAGGAAGGCAGACCCTGGCTAAAGCTGGGATGCTTGCCAGAAAGAAAAAGCAGTCATTTTCTAGCCTTACATGTGCAAATAGTATGAAAAATATTTTACTTGATATAGTGAAAAAAAAGTAGTTATTAATCAGATTATAACAGATGTAAGTTAAGTATTATTATTTTAAAAATCAATCAATATTATAAACTATTTTAAATTAAACTAGATGAATAAAAGAAACAACCCAGATTAGGTCAAAAATACTAAGATTACCAATAAATATATCTAACATGAAAATTCTAATATTCAGACTATTTGCAATTTAATCAATCTTTTCATATATGGGTAGGAAAAACATTTTTTGCTAATATGTACTCAATTGAGTCATCAGTCAGTGGTGGCCTAGTGGTTAAAGGGCCCGCCTCTCGTTGCCGAGGGCGCGGGTTCGATCCTGGCCCGGGCCAGTACCAAAGTGATTTTTCCGAGTTATATGTACTTTCTAAGAGTATTAAGACATCACTGATTAATGTTGATTCCCAAAAGAGGGTTGATGTCAGGCAGGCGGCCGGTCGTAAAAACAATTAGCCAAAACTATTCACAACATGTAAGGCAGACCCTGGCTATAGCTGGGAAAGTGCCAGGTAGAAGAAGAAGACTCAATTGAGTCATTGTATCTGAAGTATTCAAGTTATGTTAGTTTATAATTGTTAGATAAACACTGACATTAATTTATTATGGCACTCTTAATATATATAAAAAAATATTTTCCTTGACCATCTGTCAGTGGCGTCTTTATCCCTACTAATATCATGAATGCGATAGTAACTCTGTCTGTCTGTTACGCATGCATTCACGGCTAAACCACTGAACTGATTTTAATGAAATTTGGTACAGCGATAGAGTTGACCTTGAGAAAGAACATAGGATAGTTTTTATCCCAGACTTTTGAAAGGTTCTCTTGGAAACGCGATATAACCGAACTCCACGCGGCCGAAGCTGCGGGAGGAAAGCTAGTACTCTTATAAAGTACATATGACTCAAAACAATCACATTGGTACTTGCCAGGATCGAACCCGAGCCCTCATGCATGAGAGGCGGGTCCTAACCACTAGGCCAATATGACTATTATATATCCTAATATATTGATATAAAATATTTAATAATATATACAGGGTGACTGGTGAATTACTATCGATACTTGAGGACGTGATATTTGACGATCATGTATGACAAAATAAAAATTAATATAACATAAATATTAATAAACTTCTAAGTAAAGTTAACCAAAAGTTATGTAATTAATTACGCATCGTATGAACACCCTACAGATTAGGTATACACACACACTCGCGCGTGGTGTTGTATCAGCACGCCGCCGCACGCGTCTACACTTGGAACACTTGGAACGTGTCCACGCTTTATTTATTTATACGGAAATTTGGTCAAAAATTAAGTACCTATTTTTTTTACATAATTCGAATGAGAATCATGTACCGAGTATGCTCCTTAAATATTGATAGTAATTCACCAGTCACCCTGTATAGAACATTACAATATAATTTGAAAAAGGACATTGAAACCGCCTGTGTTAGTTGAATTTTACCACAGATGAAAGTTAAATTTAGTTAAGGAGAAAGTACCTGCTACAATTTTAAATTTAGATAGTAATAATCTAACATAAATACGTAAACTTTGACATTTAAAAATGTCAACACTGAAAGATATTCGTTATAAAATTCTAAAATACAGAAAAGTGTGCCAATCAAAAAAAGTGTTCTCAAATGGACTAGTCAGTTAAATTTTCATATGTAACAAATAAACTTATAATATATATATATGGTTAATCCTTTTATTTATTTAGTCTTACACAAACTTTCTTGATGGTTTTACTTTTCTATTACCAACTTAATTTTGGTCACATAGATGTATGTATATTGTACATACTATTCCTAGAACCTATCTACATATACAACTTCATCAAAATCACTTCAGCAGTGATTTATAATAGATCATAAAATCAAGTTGAATATTAATACTATTAATTATTTCATTTAAATATACCTAATTAGTTTTATTTCCATAAATGCAGTAATCTATCTTTATATGGTCCCAAATATATATACTCAAGTCAAAAAATAGTATCGGAATTAAATATATATTGTATACTAGCTTTTTTTTGCAACTTCGTCTGCATTACTTACAAAATTAAAAATGTATAGCTGACCGAGCGAACCCTATTCCTCCTCAAAAGCAGTAAATAAGAAGAATTTGGATTTTTTTTCTCTATGTAAACTATCCTATTTCCTTTCTATGTTCTAACCTATCTCTCTGCCAATTTTCAACCATATCCCTAAAGCCGTGCTTGTGTTACAATTAGTGTAACTAACCCAACTTTCTTTTATATATAAAGATATTTAATTAATTTCCTTTGAAATCTTCAATAAAGGTCATATATCAATTATATATGACAATAAGTAGATTAAAAAACATTATTTTATATAAAATACTTTGTTAATTTCTCACCCATGTACGAGCTATCCAGATGAGTGTTTCGTTGCTGAGTCTCGGTCCGACGAGAGGGTTCATTTGTGCCATGTACGCACACAACCAGCTGAAATATATATACATATGTATGAGATTAAAATTATTTACTTGGTATACATTATAGTAATTGACTTGTAAAGCAGAAACGCATATATACATATATAAATATATATTAAATTTGTCATGTAAGTATTGAGCTAAATAGCAAAATTTAATGACAGTAACTAACATAATAAAGTTATCTACCTACATTATACTTGACATCATATTTTTATAATAAAACGAGCAAGTATAACTAGTAAATAACATATATATATGCAGTGGATCCCCGGTAGTCTGACAGACATTTTGCAGGGCAGTGTGGAACTATCAAACTGTCAGAATATAGAGTACTGCTTAAGACCCTCTATAGTCTGATAATTTTACTAAAGAGTACCTTGTATTCCGACAAATAACATACCCAATGATAAGTTTACAAAAGGAATAAATGGTAAACAATGACCACGCTAGTCCTTGTACTTGTTTTTCATGTATGGAGTTAAATTAAGCAATCAGAATCAAAATATATGCATGTAGTATAATAGTGATGATAATAGATATCGAATTATAGGTGGTCCATATTATCTATTGGCTGGATAACTGGGGCTCTACAATATATATATTACTTGTATATTTGGGTTTAAGTTCCTATGCAATCCACGTCAAAAATTAACTGTATGTTATCAGTATTACAATAATGAGGAAAATACTTCTCATATACAAGGTAACCTTGATCGGTGAGGCAAATTTTCATTAAGCTTAAGGGTCTTTTAAGAAGGGTAGTCACCATTATACGTAAAAGCTATAGTGTAGCCTTAGTTGTATATTAAGTATGTTCTAATTCTATATTATCCAGATATAGCTAGGTCTTAGTTCACACTCGACTTTGATGTACTATTTGGTCAATTTGAAGTGGTTTTCGTAATAAATAATGTTCAAATACTCACAATAACCAGCACGTAGCCGCTGTTAACATCAACACCACTTGGATAATCCTGAAATATGTATGAAATAATGTTAAAATGTTAAAAGATCTAGTAAAGTTAATGTAAGTATTACTCACCCTCGATTAGGTCCTTTGGGTGCGAAGAAGGGGCATACTATACCAATGACGCCCCAGAAGACGGTGAAAATGGTGATGGGAACGAATGATGCACCCATTTTAGGACTTTAAACTTGTTTTACAGACAAAAGTCTTTTCTCAAACAAACATCAGCTGCCCCAAAAATGGTGGATGCACGGTTAGGTTGGTAGTATTGAACATTGGCAGTCATATGACATGAGAATCGGATTCTCGATATGACATAAATTATTTAATATCAAAATAAATATAATAAATTAAAGGAATTAAATAAAATAAAATAATTAAAAAGCTTCCTAAATATTTAAATAAAAATATTATGCTATGTCAAAATTTTTATTACGTTCTTTATATCCGTTTATCAAATTTTATATTTGTCAAGTCAACAATCGAAGTTTTAAAATATTATTTTTATACAAAATTTTATAAATTTAATTTCTAACAAATTTATGACAAATGCGTCCTTCATACAAAAAATTACACAAAAAGTGTAAAGCTGAACCGAGAAAGAAGAATTCGTCGTTTAAGGGCCGATATTTAGGCTTTACCCAAGGAATTACTATTTCCGATTTGGAAAACATAAATCGTGTTCTTTATCTACGCGTAAGTGTTTTACTATGACAAAATATTTTAATTTCTCAATTTTTAGAGTAAAAGTAAAAGTTGTCGAATGTATTTTTCCACAGAAATCTTCATTAGCGGAAGGCAAAGGTTCTTGGAAGGTGGTTCCAAAAGATTCCTGCGAAGTTTACAAGAACCGTAGGCGCCGTCAGATGGCTGTCCAGAAAAGAAATATCAAAACTAATGAAAAATGTCGATGTAAAAATCGACGGTGTGTATTCAAAATATTAATTTCCTATATTTAGCTCCGCAAATATTATATTCTACTGCAGAAATGTAATTTTAGTGGATATTCTACAGTTTTAATCTTTAAGACGCAGAAACTAAGGAAGTTTAAAATGTAATTTATATGAGATGAAATTGTATGAAATTTCATCCTTTAGGAGTTAGACCAAAAGTTGATCTTCAAGGCTGGGGAAAAAGCTTAATACCAAATAATATGAGTTTTGGTATAATATGCCGTCAATAAAGAGCTATGATCGTGGCAGAGTCGACCGTTATATATTCTACAATTAAATAAAGACATCTTTTAATGAAATTAACAATTTTCAACAAATGAAATTAATATTTTTCGTAAAAACTACGTGATGGAATCAAATCTGAATCGTGATCACGGTTGCTGAGAAGTAGCCGAAATATAGGGCCTTTTTTTCGTTAAATAAACTGCGTAGTATATCCGAAAAATATTAGTTTCATTTAAATGAATAAAACTGGTAAAAGTCTTAAGGTGGCACTCCACTTGGCGCATTTGTCCAAATATTTGTTCGTAGTCCAAATAGCGCAAACACTACATCCACACTTGGGATGCTAACAACACGTCTTTACAAGTTTTTGCTTATTTGTGTATGTGTCTTATTTGTGCAAAAATGTCAAATGAAGACGAATAAATCCTCTACACATGCTCTTATTTGGCCGAACACAACAAATAAACGCCAAGTGAAGTGCCACCTTTAATATTAACTAGCTTTCCGTCCGCAGCTTCGCCCGCGTGGAGTTCGGTTATATCGCGTTTCCAAGAGAACCTTTCAAAAGTCTGGGATAAAACTATCCTATATTCTTTCTCAAGTTCAACTCCATCTCTACCAAATTTCATTAAAATCAGTTCAGTGGTTTAGGCGTGAAAGAATAACAGACAGACGGACAGGCAGAGTTACTTTCGCATTTATAATATTAGTAGGGATAAATCGATCTTCATTACGTAAAACTCGCCTCGTGACAGAATTCAGCGCCAAAATCATTGCGTCTTCAAACTATACTATTCCACAGATCTCGCAATAATTCATCCCAGTATTCATATTCTTGCGACAGCCGAACGGAAACGTCTTCATCCACAGATGAAAATTAATTTATTTTATTATTATTAATTTAATAATTTGGTTTTTTATTTGTGTACTCTTAAAATCTTTCGTATGAAATAAATCGTTATTAATAATGAGAATGTCGTTTTATTATTTTTGTAGACCCATTTGTTAAATCCAAAAACCTCTACAGGCACCGATATTTATAACAATCACATAATATTTGAATACGTAAAATATAAAGCTGACGAAACACAATAATTTACCAATAGCTAATAGAGAAACAATATATATTAATAATTTATTTTGTTAATATTTAATTACTTCTTTTTCTTCTATAGATTACTCTTTGGATAAAATAAACGGTAATAAATTCATGATCTCGCACCTCCGCTCAAATAGTGTCATAAGTCAAAAATCCCAACTTTCGAATAAAACGGGTTTAAAGTTAATGCTAACTTTACTTTTCGGCTCATCACTTAAAAACTGTGAAAGTTACTGCAATATGATTTTAAATAAGTTATAATGATTTTTGACACTCAACAAAATGGTGTAATAGACTTTTGGAATATATTAAAAAAAAAATAACGAATAACGGATAAAAAAACGAATAATTTACGAAATATTGACATCTATGGATAAATAGTTGAACTATGGGCATGACATTATTTGAGATAAGATTTCGAAGTTCCAATAGTGCAATAAAATTGAATTCAACTTTTTTTGAGTTGTGACACTATTTGAGCGGAGGTGCAATCTCTCTCTTTCATTTTACGTAAAGACTCTTTGCTTTACTTAGATTCTCTAATATAATCTGTTTTTATAGATATATAATTGGTTAAAACACTGGCATTTATCATAGTCTAGAAGAAACATGAAATGATATATGTCAATACTTCTAAAATTGCGGAGTGAATGTTTATTGATAAAAAATTTAGAAATGTAAATAAAAAAGTGCCATTTTCTAATGTCTAGACCAATAAAAGCAGATAATTATGTCGTATTTTTCACATGGATAGGAATCGTATCGATATATATAACACTTTTGACTGTTACCGCTCTCGGGGTTTTATTTATCTTGTGAGTAAAAAGATTTCTTATTATCACTGTAGTTGCATTTTATATTTACTCTTTGCTATGACTAAATACCTATTAGGAAAGTATCAAGAAGTTTATTTTGTATTAAAACATTGTATGGGTAAGTTAAGATTAATTTAATAATTTATTTAAAATAAATATCCTGATCGTCATACATCCTCCTTCAAATATTCCTCCGTATTAAGATATATTAACTTACCTTTTGTCTTATAAACTGTAAATGAAGGAGTAGTTTTAATATTAGTTTATTGTAAATTAAACTGAAAAGACGTTTAATTTATTTTTTAATATTAATATAAAATTACTTATAAATTTTATTCTTCAAATTTTATTGTACAATAAAAGTAATTTACAGTCTATGGTGACTAACTGACGTTTCGACTTTTTAATTTTTGATGTATGTACGCTCAAATATCACATTTGAATGCCAACCGTCAATTCAAAGTTTGTTATTGAAAATAAAGTCGAAGTTATTGTTTTATATTTGTTAAAATGTGTGTTTAGTTAATAAAAGTACAATATATATCAAAATGGACGACACGGGAGCTTCGGTAGATGTTAGTAGGGCTGCAGCGACGTGAGTTTAAAAAAGATCTAAGATTAAACATTTTTATGTATCTGATGTCTTCATTTGAGTTAATTCATAAAAATTGACTAATATATCATTTATAAGTGCATAGTTTAATGTTTTTAATATTATGTTAGTATTTTAGAGATAATTCGGACTAATATTTTTCGTAACATAATATGTGAAGACGAAGTGCCTAATTATGTAGTTTTGTTCGCATTCAGTAGTGCTTTGTTGTAATCACATTAATATGTACTTCATTTTATAAACGTAATACATTTTTTATATAAAAATATGAGATTTTGTAGTTATTTAATAGTTTTATATATTATAGATATTATTAAATCTTAAATGTATACAATTGATTATCTTATAAATGGACAAAACTTTAGTGCTCATTGTTATAAATTGTGGCAAAATACTATACTTCTTTATAGCCATATAAAATAGACTTCATCAACCTTAAAATGCTTACATTTTCATAACACACACATAGTTTCCAATATTTTTTTATTTATAAATCATAGGTAAGTGTAAATTTGATAACTTTTTGTGTTTAGCTCTCATACACAAAAATCTCTTTATAAATCAAAGTTATAAGTTATATGATAGTTTTTAGAAGTTATTTAGTATATGTTTTAATAGGTATTCTTTATTTCATGTTTCTTATTATAGTTCGGTTTAAAGACATTTATTCCTTATAAAGAACACAAAAGTTCACTTATAATAAGAAATTACAATAATTTTGCATGAGGGTACATTTAAAAGTCTGCCTTAAGAATTATATACAGTGAAATAAAATGTGGCGGGTAGTTATATTACACAAACATGTTTAGGTAGGGTTTACATTAACTTATAAATTATTTTGCACATATTCCATTACACGTTTTTTGAATACAGAAAAACTCTTGCTATGAATAATTGAGTCTGATAATTTGTTATAAATTTGAACTCCTTCAAATAAGATGTTTTTCTTTCCATAGTTGGTTCTGGTTTTTGGGAGTTCTAGTTTATTACGTTTTCTAGTGTGGTATGTATGTGTTTTTTTATGAAAGTGTAATTGTGAATGTGTTTTATTTGTTATTATTTTTCTAATCAACATGCATGTTTTTAAAGTATATAATTGATTTATATTAAGAAATTTTGTTTTTCTGTATAATTCAACGGATGGCGTCATATAATCATATTTATAAAGAACTTTAATAATTTTATTTTGTAAAGTTTGTAATGTCTTTAAAATTATTAATTATTCTGTAGTTGTTATAAAAACCCTTGATTTTACAGTAATTTTTTATTAAACTATGTTATATCAATATATTTTGTTATTTACTGATAAAAATAAAAGTTATTTAATTAATTTAATTGCAATATATGTTAAAAGTTGTTGCGGCCCGGAGCTTAGGGCTCACATCTCATGCATAAGGCTGCCGGTTCGATCCTGGCAAGTACCAATGTGATTTATCCGAGTCATATGTACTTTATAAGAGTATTTAGACATCACTGACAGATGAAGGAAAACATTGTGAGGAAATCTGGACTTTTAATGACAAATTATAAGTTTGAAATCACCAACCCGTCTTGAGTGAGCGTGGTGATTAATGCTCAAACCTTCTCCATGTGAGAAAGAGGCCTTACAGCAGTGGGCTCTGATAGGCTGATGATGATGATGAGTGTATACATGAAAAATCTTACTTATTTCAATTAAATAATTTTGATATTTGTATGATAGGAGTAATCCTTATAACAAATTGAAAAACAAACAATTTGATTTTTTATCTTCAAATAAAATACTTCTACAATAAGAAAAAATTACATCTCACAAGGATACATTTATTTTTTAATTGTTCTGTTTTTGTTTTAAACTGTTTTAAATTGATATGTTTTGAATAATTATTAATTATATGTTATATACATAAAAGTATTCAGTTAAAAATGAGTATGAGAAAAAAAATCTATTCATACTTAGTTTCACTAAAGTCCAAAGAAATTGACACCTTTTTAAAATTATATTCATATAATATCCATTCCTATAAAATATTATTATGATAAAAAGTTTAAGCATAGCTATACATAGGGTACTTTAGTAATTCTATATAACATCCCTGACAATATAATTACTATATCGGTTGTTTATTAACTATCTTGCAGAAGAAAACGTCGTTCCTCAATCCTCAAGAGCCAGAGACCTCCTCGCACACCTTTCTCCGAGTTGGAATTCAAAGTTGCCACTCCGACTGACACAGCAAAGAGCAGGCGTGTCAGTTTCAGCAGAAGAACTGGTGTCGCGTGAGTTATATTGATTACTAGCTTCGCCCCACGGTGTTACCCGCGGATTTAAAGTAGCCTATGCCTTATTCCTGGACGTCAGCTTCCTGTATACAAAATTTTAACAAAATCGGTTCAGCCGTTTGAGCGTGAAGAAGTAACAAACATACACATACTCACAAACCTTAGCAATTATAATATTAGTAGGATGTAGATTAGGCTTTACCATAGTGTGCGATAATTACATCTTGTGGGCGCGTAGAATAAAAAAAGAGGGAATATGTAGATGCCTGGCAGTGATTTGTATATAAATATAGTTAGGATTTGCTATAGTGGTTTTTAAGTAAAAATAATTAATTCTCAAATTGGGTAGTAGACAAAATAAGTTTGGGAATTACGTAGACTGTAGAAAATCTTGAAGATGCAGGTTTCAGATTATAGATAATGAACTCAAGACATACCAGAAATGTAACTTTATATTTATCAAAAATAATTATTGGATTTAAAGAAATTTGCAAGATATATCTGTAATAATTGATATTTGTATTTCATTTTTAAATTGCTGAACGGATTTTTAAATAGTTTCTGTCTCAATTAGATGGAAAAATCTCAGGTAAAAGCTATATAAAATAATTATATGTCAATTTATTGTTATCTTTTCGTCTCTTCCAGTGAATTCGTCAAAAACGAAGCAACTACTACTTGGAAGAATTTCTACGAGGAGCACAACAAATCTTTAGAGTCATCTGGTAACGAATCATCGGCTAATCCTCGCCAGGTCATAGAACATATCGGGAAACGGATATTCGACCAGCAATTCGAGGAAATCGAGGTGGTGGATATAGGAGGCACTCTCCAAACACATGCCAACCATCAAAGCTCAACCAATAATGCCAGTATACAAGAATTTAACACAAACGATAAACTAACAGAACCGATGCAACACTTCGAATTGAGCTCAATGACCGATCACCAAAGCAGGATATTCGGTGACGAGCTCAGCATGCCAGTTATGACAGAAATGACGAATCCGATTAACATAAACTTCTCGAATCTAAATACTATAGGAGATAAGTGTGATGATTTGGAGGAGATCGAAAGAGATCTTGAGCGACCGCTTCAGAAGAATGTGATTTGTCCAGGCCCATTCACAGGGAGGGATGTGTCGGAATATATTGAGGTCGATCTGAACATGACCCACGTCGTTAACAAGTCTGATGATTGTGATATGTCCATAACGGAACCAATACAGAGCCCTAATGTACAAACATTGCCCAAAACTAACTCCTTCAAGGAAAATCCAGACGATTGGATAGTAGATAAAGAGAATATAGTTGTCAATCCGTACATAACACCGAAGGAGTCCAAAAATTTCGCGTTAAACGACGCAGATGATAAAATTTTAGTGTTTGATGGCAAGAAATTGACTGTCCAGTCTGATAAAGAACTGATAAGAGATGCAGATGAAAAGGACAAATACCGCTGCCTGCTACCAAACAGTTCGGCCACCACGCCTCAAAGGAAGACAATATTCTTAAACGTGAACGACGATTTACCCAACTTTGTTCCCACTTCTGTTAATCAAAATAATAGTCAGACAATGAAATCTGACGATAAACCTAAAAGAAAAACCATCGTGTTTGATGATGATGCAGATATTTCTATAACTCAGGCGCTCCCAGCAAAAGTTATTATAGATAAAACAGAGAACAACGCTACTTCCTATGATAATAACTTATCAATTACTCAAGCGGTTGTCAGTAACTTAGATTCAAAAAGAAAGACTATAGTTTTCGACGAAGGCGCAGATATCTCCATAACTCAGGCAATTCCTTCAAATGTTTTTATCAAAGAAAAAACTAAAGAAACTTTATATGATAATGATGATAACTTATCAATTACTCAAGCGGTTGTAAGTAACTTAGAAAATCCTAAAAGGAAGACAATAGTGTTCGAAGAAGGTGCAGATATATCTCTCACTCAAGCAATTCCGTCTAAAGTTATAATTGATAAACAAAAGAGTAACACTACACTATATGATAATGATAATAACTTATCATTTACTCAAGCGGTTATAAGTAACTTTGATAAACCAAAAAGAAAAACCATAGTATTTGATGAAGGCGCAGATATTTCTATAACTCAAGCAATTCCTTCCAATGTTTTTATCAAAGAAAAAACTAACGAAACTTTATATGATAATAACTTATCAATTACTCAAGCGGCTATCAGTAACTTTGATAAACCAAAAAGAAAGACCATAGTGTTCGATGAAGGTGCAGATATATCTATAACTCAAGCAATTCCGTCTAAAGTACTAATTGATCAACCAAAAAATAACCTTACGCTATATGATAATGATAATAACTTATCAATTACTCAAGCGGCTATGAGTAACTTTGATAAACCAAAAAGAAAAACCATAGTATTTGATGAAGGAGCAGATATTTCTATAACTCAAGCAATACCCTCTAAAGTCCTTATTGATAACCAGACAGATAGAGCTCCGATTAAAGATGAAACATTAAAAAACACACAAGCATTTAGCAATGGTCAAAAACGAAAGACGATAATTTTCGACGACGACGCCGATATATCTATGACCCAAGCGATTCCTTCAAGAGTTCTGATTGAAAAAGAAAATATCAATGCTACAATATTTAATAATGATTCTAACTTATCAATAACTCAAGCCGTACCCGTTAATATTTTTAACGATAAACGAAATACCATTGTACAAAATGATAATCCATTCCAAATTGAAGATTTTACGATGAAAGATACCAAAACCGGACAAGACAAAACAATGATTTATGAAAACGATCACGATTTATCAATAACTCAAGCAATTCCAGCCAATATAATAAAAAGTCATGAAATTTATAATGATATGATTTCAACAAACCAAAATGCAAATGATAAAGTAGTTGATGAAGTTTTATCAAATGAAATTGATAAACGATGTACTGTATTTAATGATAATTTATCAATGACTAAGGCTATTTCAAATGTGTTCATCGATAAAGAAGTAGATACAAACACAAAAAGAAAAACTATTTATGATAATGACATGTCCATGACAATAGCGATGCCATCAAATGTGAAGCAATCAATTAAACCTGATAACGCTATAAGTTCTAATGATATTTCTGTACCGCGATCTTCAAAGAATTTTATAGATAATGAAGAAAAAAGTAATATGTCTCTCGCGAAAAATTACATTGATAATGATGATGTAAAGAAAAGTGATAAATTAATTCTGGGAAATTCATACGGTAACGCTAGTGTGGCCATAACGAAGCCCATACCTTCGAAATTATTAGATCTACAACAAGATATATTAAAGAACAATAAAAGTTTTAGAAACGAAGATAGTAAGTTAATTGATAATAATCACGACGTATTAGTGTATCAGGCGAAAGAATCTATAACTCTGGCGCAGTTAAAAAATATGAATGATGATGATGATAAAAATGTTGAAGAAAGTAATTCAGTGGTAAAAATCTCTGAAGCACCCACAGTAAAAGATAAGAGTGATATCTTTGGAATGTTTGCTCCGATGATAGAAGATAAGACTGATTGTGAAGTTGATAATGAAGTTGTGGATAAAGTTGAATCTATTGAAGTCGAACCCCAAAAACCTCCAGCCAGCGAATCATTTGTTACCAAGACCAGCTCTGAAGAACAAAGATGTGTCAAAAAAACTCTTCTCAACGAGCTTTTAGACATGTCTTATTCTTCTCTAAACGATTCTCTCCCAGAACCTAAGAATCCATTCAAAGTTGAAAATAACATTGAAATGCAAATAAACGAATCACATGAATCAATAATCAACAAGGAGAGTGATGATTTGGAAAATAATGAATTAATTGAAAATCAATCGTTGGGTGAAAAGAGAGAATCGGTACGACAAATTACATCAAAACTGCCAGCGATAGAATACAGAGAAGATTCGGAAAACGTTCATCATTTGCAGAACCAAATTGATAATCTGAAGGTTACGCTTGAAGAGAAGATGTCTAATAGACATTACGAGACCGTATTGAGTTCAGATCTACAGCAAAGTCTAGATCAGTTGAACAAGACCGAAAAAGAACAGAATGTATCTAGGAATCTGAAAAAGTCATTCAAAAACGCAGACGATACCAACGAGCTACTGGAAATGCTCTCGAATTTCACAGAAGGTGATGAAGAAGAAGTTAAGCCGACCATACAGAACAAACCTGAGCCAAAGAAATTGAGTTTCGCACCAAACAGACGGTCAATAGTTCTCAGTAGAGAGGATTTACTTAATAATATTTCCATGGCAAACGCAGCGTTACAGCAATCGAGATTTGAAATGGATTTCAGTGAAAGCATAGAAGATACGCAAGATTTAACCGAAGAAGCGATCCAGGAGGAAAACAATTCAAAAAGAAAGTCTGTTAGGATGAGCAATGAAGTTGTTAAAACACTTCAATTTGACGAAGACGATTCAATAAGCGAAAGTAGCGTCGTATCAGAAATAAAAGCGTCGCCGCTTAAGAAAACAGCTTTCGGCGAAGTCTCCTACATGCATGAGAGTAAAGCGAAAGTCATACCATCATATTTAAAAGACGTTTCCGATAATTTGAAAGCGCTGATGATTGATTTGGTGAAGCCAATGGCTGATGTTCTGCCGTTCGACACCAGCGGTCCTGATAGATTAGCAAAACCTCCGTCCACATGCAGCACGCAGATACAAGCTAATCTTATAACATCTAGCCAGATAGATATAGATACAGAATTACATTCGAACACAGCATCTTTACACAGCGCTAAACCTAGCGAGACTATTATAAGAGAGGTAGCTGCTGCTGGGAAACAGGCGATATCTCAAGCATTAAATAATTCAAATCAACCAGTTTCACATAGCGTTTCCTTTGATGCACGCAGACATGAGATAAGAATACCCGAAACCAAACCATCGCCACGTAAAACAGTCGGACCAGTTATTGTATTCGATCATACGAATCCCTTAAACAACGTAGTCCTAGCACAGCCAGATAATGTTAAAGTACACAGATACAACCCATTACAGTCTGAGAATATGAACTCAGAATTTAATACTGCTACAGATAGTACCAATAAAATGGAAACTCATTACGAAGTGGAGCGTGTCTCTACGTGTTATAATGTTGAAACTAATAACCAATCTTCTTTACAATCCGGTGATGCAGGTACCGATGTATTGAAAATGAACAGTATTGTATCGAATATGAGCAAACCAGTATCAATAGATAAATCCATAGAAGGATTTTCGTTACACGTCAAAAACACGGAAGTCAATACGCTTATAAGTATGAAAGAAACCAAAGAAATTTTAGAGGCTAACTCATCACTTACATTGGTTGATGATGGTTTTGGACGTAGTTCTTTCGATCTCAAGTTATCGTCAGAAGTTACACAACCCGTCCTAGATCAGACATCGCCAGTGAGAGTGATTTACAAAATGCAAGAAGACGAACTATTGGAGAAATTAGAATCTGATTTAACATCCGTCGAGGATTCCATCGACGAAGAATACAAACGAAAAAAACGCACCTACAGTCCAACTAAACGCGACAGAAACAAAAACACACCAAACGTAGACATCACTCCCAAGCCTGCTAACAAAATGCAGAAAATTTCAAACAGCCCCAAGCAAATAAATCCAGAAAAATCAAAACGATCTCCAAAACCCAAAGACAGAAGTCCAGAGAAGAAATCAAATGTCAGTCCCAAAAAAGAAGTGGACCAACAGTTGTTAAATGCCAAAAACAATGAAGAAATCCAAAAAACAGTAATAGAAACTATAAATAGCTCAACCACGACTCTAGAAGAGGATATTTTGTTTAGCAACCAAGTCAGAGATCTAAATAGTTCGAACACAGCTTCATTTAAAAGCAGCAAGTGTGGTATAGCAAGTAGCGATTCTCATACGCTTTCAGCTGTTGGCAGTAATATCTCCAGAGTTAATTGGCAAACGGATTTAGTGAACGATTTGAGTTCCAAAAACATTATGAAGGAGTGCAGTTCCGGTGACAACGTGGTCGCCAAAATAAATACTCTACCGTTTATGGGGTACGTATTTTAAAGACACTTATAATACTAGTTTAAAACCTTTCCTTTTATTTATTAATTATTGTCTTAAATTCAATAGTGTTTAGGAATTTCATTCTGTTTGAAATTGGAATTAATAAGATCTAAGATTTTCGCTAGTATTCATTTAAATAACTAATATTTAATACGCGTTTGTCATGTTAAGCTGTCGACGTTTACTATGAATAAAATAAGTGGTTCAAATCCATAATATTATAATTTTTTTAAGCTACTAATTATTTATGTTGTATAATACTAAATTGATCGAAGGATAAAATAACAATTGAGAGTACATAAAAACGGACACACGCCAAATCAAATCAAAATATCCTAAACATATTATCCAACATGAAATAAATGTATTTTATTAAATTTTCAGTTCTCGTGACTGTGAATGGGAATCATCCACTGGTGACGTATGGATGTTCCGTCTCCTTCGCACCCGTATGAGGCTGATCATCCGTCTCGCTCACACACTCCATAATGCTACCCGCTCGCGCGTGAGAGCCGACACTCCTATAGTGTCGATCAATGTGGATTCCGTTTTGGAAGGTGGGTATAAACTTTTAAAAAGATATATTAGGACTTTCATAGCTATCGGTTGAAATATAGCCTTAGATTATAAAGGATTTATTCGCCGTAAGAAATGCTCCAATAGTCCTATCGTGAAGAAAGAAGTGTGATAGAAAACCTTCATTAAATGGTAAATGAAGTCATCTCTAAGAATATTAGTTTATAAGAATATATTATTTACTTACCACATAACCAAATTCATTATTATTGGTAATCAGTAAATTATATTGTTTGAGAATATTCACAAGGACTTAATTCTAAATCGCTCATTTAATTAACATAGTCCGTACATTTTCCAAAAAGAGGGTCACTATATGTCATCAGCCTATCAGAGCCCACTGCTGAGCAAAGACCTCTTCTCACATGGAGAAGGTTTGAGCATAAATCAAACTTATAATTCTGAAACTATAAGTCCAGGTTTCGTCACGATGTTTTCCTTCACCGTATGTCAGTGATGTCTAAATGTACAGAAAGTACATATGACTCCGAAAAATCACATTGGTACTTGCCAGGATCGAACCCGCGCCCTCGGCAACTAGAGGCGGGAGAGAGGGTCACTATAAACATTTATAACAAAAATAATCCTAACCTAATAATGTTGATGATCTTACAGACGAGTCGGATCCTCTCGCGTCGCTAGTAATACGTTTCTCTCGAGACGCGATGCGTGCCGTCTGTACGAGGTGCATCTCAGCCAGGGACGTGCCTCATCTGTTGAGATGCTGCGCCGCCATAGCCAGGGTCGCGCCTCGCTGGGCCCGCGCTATGAGGGACGCGAGGGCCAGGCTCGCTTATAAACTTGGACCGGGAGGAGAATTGACGCTTAAGGTGAGAGGGACGGGGGTAGTGTGAAATGTGAATGTGTGAGAGGGATGGAGATAGTGTGAAATGTAGATGAATGATTGAGAGAGAGATAGAAGTAGTATCAAAATGTGTCTGCCTGTCTGAGAGAGAGAGACAGAGATATGTGTGTCCGAGTGAGTGTCTGCTTATTATTTGTTGGCGAGTGACTATGCTAGTGCATGTGCTCTCTTTCATAAAAACATGCGTAATTAGAATTACATATTTCTGAATAATGCAGTCTATATTCCATTTTAATGTATACATAGGTGGCGAACATCCAGCTACGTTCGGTGTGGGAGGTGCGCATGCGCATCAAGTTAGTGGTTGAAGACGATATGGAGTCGTGGCCGTGCGCGAGCGACGTGCGCGTGTGTCCCGTACTGGCAGACACTGATAAGATACCGAATGTGGAGAACATCATGCAGACGATCAAGAGGGACTGGGGACACGCGCCCGCCGCTATATGGTATATACTAGCTTTCCGCCCGCAGCTTCGCCCGCGTGGTGTTCGGTTATATCGCGTTTACAAGAGAACCTTTAAAAAATCTGGGATAAAAACTATCCTATGTTCTTTCTCAAGGCCAACTCTATCTCTGTACCAAATTTCATTAAAATCAGTTCAGTGGTTTAGGCGTGAAAGCGTAACAGACACAGACAGAGTTACTTTCGCATTTATAATTTTAGTAGGGATATACACACACACATACACACACACACACATACATGTACATTCACATACACACAGACACACATAGTCACAAGCAGTTCACATGCACTCAGACAGTTACACACATCCAAATACAACCACTTAAGCAGAAATACAAACACACATACAAGTTTTACGATCAAAAATATGTAATTATTAGCGTTTGACATGTAGAGTCCATTTATTTATATAGTTCTTTTGGTGTAATATATAAGGGAACTCCAATAACTAAAAAAGATATATATAATTTTTATCTTATCATAATTTTAATAAACAAGATTAGTCATCACAAAAGTTTACATTTTGACAGTCATAGAAGAAAATAATATAAGCATGCATCCAATGAAGAGATATAGATATATAGTTCCTATCATAATTATAGAAAAAAGTATTATGTTTGTAGATCTAACCAAATATATTTACATTTTTCCAGGAAAATCTTCAAGCATCTTAAAAATAAAACGAGAAACGAAGACCTACTGGGAGTTTGAAACAAATATAAATAAATGAATAAATTGTTTTATTTGTGTAATAAATGGTCTCGACATTTGAATTACTGGAATAATATGTATCGGTTCATACTGAAGAAAATTATTAATATGAATAGTATTGTCGAGCTTTTGTCGTTTATTTTTTGTTATGTAATATACAATAGGTTTTTTGGAAGATTATTAAATGCATCATGTGGTTTTGGTTATCGTTTTATTGGTGTGGTCGTGGGTAATGTGTGGGCTTGGTTGGTAGTATTCTGGTGTTTCGGGTTCCGTAAACCCAGCCTGATTTGAGCTTGGTACGTGCTGAGTCTATTTCGATAGCTGGGTAGGGATTAGCTGGGAGCGTTTGGATCACGTCGAAAGTTGGACATGGGCGTATTACCTGGAATATGATTTAAGATTATCTTTCTTCTATATATATAAAAATGGATTGCTGTTCCTTAGTCTCGCTAAAACTCGAGAACAGCTGAACGGATTTGTCTTATCTTAGTCTTGAAATGTTCGTGGAGGTTCAGGGAAGGTATAAAAGGTGAGAAAAATTGGAATAATTGCCGGGAAAACCCTAAAAACAGCCCTTTTCTATTTCCCATACAAACGTTTTTTTTGACATTAGATTTGACAACTAACTAATATGTCAATCATTCTGTTTGATTGAAACAGGAAAAACCTGATTATTTATGGCCTCTAAGACGGAATAGAGTTCGCCTGGTGAGCTATACATATATTACTAATAACGAAACTAACGCGGACGAAGTCGCGGGCAAAAACTAGTACTGATATAAAAAATATAATTTAAAATCTATAGGATATTCTCTCTCGAATTTATCTTCATGTAACGTAATAACTATATATAGAGACAAAACCTCGCATCATTCAATGTATTCACGGTGCGTGTGTCGGGTCCATCGTTATAGAGAGGAGATTCAACAGTGACTGGGACCTGTGACCCAGGTGTAGGTTTAAAGGCCCCTATCTAATAAAATTTTGCAATTATATTATATATTATCATAATAACTTACTCTACCAAAGACCACATTTCGTAAGTCAAACTGGGGCAAGGCTTTGAAAGTTATGTTGAATATACCGCACATCTCATCGTCATTTGTCATTCGCATTGAGAGCAATCCTGGAAATAAATATTTTAACTTAACTACAAGGTTTAGATTATAACTAGGTATGTTTGCTTCTGAGATGTTTCCTGTATTATAGACGAGTGTAGACTCGCTAGAGCAAGATGATCAGCTTTTTATACTAGACGACTCTCGCAAAACCAAGAGCACTTATCTAACCGCCTCGTCGACCAATCAGAGATCTTGCTATTTTCTAGAATGTTCATTGCAAATTCTTGTTAATATATTAAGTAAATATTTCGATACCTTATTACTTATCCTACAAATAATAAACACGTCTTGTCCCGTACAATAATGCGATAGATATCTTTACTTATATACATATAACAATACATAGATCTTTACATAATTTTTAATCGATTTCAAATGGAAAGTAAATTCGTGCTGTAGAACTAGTGTTAGTTTCCAGATTAATAAACAACTATTTGAGTTCAGTTTCTTAAAAAAAAAACACAAACAGCATTGCTACCATAAGTAAATAACGTCGAAGTCGTTATCGGGCGTCTGTAGTTTTTACCATCGTATACTTGGGTTTATAAACAGCATATTGTACTACAGTCAATATATTTTGGTTTATGAATGAAAAACAGGAAATGCTTTTGCTGTAGTATACGTAAAATTCCATAGCATTAATTTCAATCGCCATACCAACTACAAGGAATATGATATCTGAAGACTTAATGTTCATTGATCATTTGTATTATAATTTCTATCGCACATTTTCTGGTAAAATATGATTTAAAGAACAAACCCTGTCTAAATTAAATCAGGAAATTCAGAGAATTATATTTATAACATTGTATCATTGTGAACACCAAACGTTGCTGCAGCGTTCTGTCACTACCATGCGATATCATAAACATAAGTTATAAATGATAACATAGCTAATAAATAATAATATAATAATATGCAAGGTACAGTTTTAGTCTTGTTTCCTAATCTTAGTTGTATATTCAAGTAATTTCCTACAAAATGGCTGAAGCCAGTATTTATAGTTTACAAATACAAGTTAATACCTAAACATGTTACATGGCCATCACAACATTTACATAGGCTTCAATATTACAATTAGTTATAAATAATAACAATAATGGTTTCGATATAATTAATAGCTCTTCATATTTTTACTAAATAACTTTTTATTATCAGGTTCCCACAATTATTTCCGGGTATATCCAGAGGTACATTAAAATTAGTTCTAAAGTTTAAAGTATGTTACGTTTAAAGTATGTTACCTATAATAAGTACGTTACGGATGGCATCACTTGTAACACTAATTTAGTATCTATCAGTGAACGTCAATGAAAGTTATGATCTTTAATTCTAATTCTGAAGTCTTAACCGAAACTAATATCATTCACAATAATAATATTCAATCAGAAACTGCTTTACTATAATTATCTACTATTTATATATTTTTTATTGTATTACAAATGAAAACCCGACGCTTTCATTGTCATTTAACGATCTTAATGAACCCGCGAAACTCAATCGAGTCGTCATAGGTTAAAAATAACAATCATTTTGGAAAAGAGCTAAGAACAACGGCAAGCTATCAAATGAAAAAAACGCATCATAATTTGCACATACGTTTGAGAGCTAAGACGGCCCAAACAGATCGATACCTCCCACGTAAGTTGTTGTAAGCATCAAAAATGCTATTTTGCTTTATTTATGAAAAATATCCTATTATTGATCAGTACATCCATTCAAATTAAAAAATCAACAAAAACACTATTTTTAAAGGATTTGTCAGACGTATAATGTTGTAATTTTCAAACGCGAACGGATTAAATTGATGTAGGTATATATCTATGCAATTGTTTACACGGGGCTCGAGGTGGGTAAAGTCACGCGCTCAAGCCGCGTATGAGTTACATACAACAGAGTAAGACTTATGTTTTTCAACGTATACAGTTGTAACTATCATATACCACAAGTGATGCTATCTGGGCGCCGCGGTATAATGTTGTAAGTATCAGATACAACACCTTTTTTAGCTTCTACTCCGGAGTATAATGTATGAACAATATAACAACAATATCTCCGCAAATAGGCATATTAATTAAAATATGTTTTTAACGTACATAGTTAAGAAGACTATTATGTTTAATTTAAATACGAAATTTTAAAATGATGCCTCAATAAATGCAGATTTTGGTTGAATTTGTATCTTTGAAACGCTCTACTGTAAAATTACAGTTTTGGAGATACAAAAACTTACGTGGGAGGTATCGAGATATATTGACATCAAAATAACCTTTCATGAGTCGGGAAAAGAAAATAGACGAAAGTAGAAAGATTAATCTTAGATGTTAAAAAATAAAGAGGACATTATTTTATATACTTACATATTATATATAGTGTATAGTCGTCTCAAATGATTTTCATGAAATTTATAATATTACTAGTTTTTGCCCGCGACTTCGTCCGCGTTAGTTTGGTCAAGAGTAATATATGTAGGTATAGCTGACCAGGCAGTGGTGGCCTAGTAGTCAAAGGGCCCGCCTCTCGTTGCCGAGGGCGCGGGTTCGATCCTGGCCCGGGCAAGTACGAATGTGATTTTTCCGAGTCATATGTACTTTCTAAGAGTATTTAGACATTAATGATTAATGTTGATTCCAAAAGAGAGGGTTGATGTCAGGCAGGCGGCCGGTCGTTAAAACAAATAGCCAAACATGTAAGGCAGACCCTGGCTATAGCTGGGAAATTGCCAGGCAGAAGAAGAAGCTCACCAGGCAAACTCTATTCCGTCTTAGAGGCCATAAATAATCAGGTTTTTCCTGTTTCAATCAGTCAGAATGATTGACATATTAGTTACTTGTCAAATCTAATGTCAAAAAAAACGTTTGTATGGGAAATAGAAAAGGGCTGTTTTAAGGGTTTTCCCGGCAATTATTCCAATTTTTCTCACCTTTTAAACCTTTCCTGGACTTCCAGGAGTATTTCAAGACTAAAATTAGCCAAATCGGTTCAGCCGTTCTCGAGTTTTAGCGAGACTAAGGAACAGCAATCCATTTTTATATATATAGAAGATGTTATAAAACTGAAGAGTTTGTTTGTTTGAAAGCGCTAATCTCCGAAACTACTGGTTCTAATTGAATAATTCTTTTTGTGTCGGATAGTCCAGTTATCGAGGAAGGCTGTGGGCTATATAACATTACGCTACGACCAATAGGAGCAAAGATATAGTGGTAAATGTGTAAAAACGGGAGAAATTATTTCATCTTTGAAGCCTTCCGTTGCGTGCGCCGTGAAAACGGTTCAAGATATACAAAAAATATGTATTAAAGAATAATAGCTCTTTTAATGATCTAAAAAACAGTCCGCGACAGTATATGTCTATCTTTTAAGATTAACTCACAAAATCCGTTTTTATGGTACCTAATTTGTTCGAAATAATTTGTTTAAGTTGTATCAACATAATAATATTAATCTTTATTAAATCTTTCTAAAAAAAAACATAGGTTTTATCCTGAAAATTCTACGGGAACTTGACCATTCCGAAAACCCCGCAAGAACGGGAACTATGTGGGAAGAATCAAAAATCTGCCGGAAGTCACTATTCCACGCGGACGAAGTCGCGACAAAAGCTAGTTTATAATATATGGGGTTTCGGGGGCAAAAAATCGATCTAGATAGGAATCATTTTTAGGAAATGTTATTTTTAGGAAAAAAAAACAACAAAAAGGGATTAGGGAGGCGTTTAAGATGTGACTCCTCCTGACATCTATTGGCGAATAGTAACAACTTTTTGCTAATTGATTTTACTAATTGCTTTAACGATACAACAGCAGATGGCGTTGGTAAGTAACAGGAAGTCAATGAGTGTTTTGAGGGTAGACTAAGAAATTAATTATCGTTGATTTATATTGTTTTGTGTGTGCTTAAGGTGTACACAATAAAAAACCTAAACGAAATTAAAAAAAAAAACACAAAATAAATACTAATAACACCTAAATACCGAACAAAGCTATTGTGGTGTTCAGATATTTTGGTTTTCTTTAGCAATAAGCATTTTTTTTTATTTTCAATATAGTCACTAGAGCAATAACAAATTGTTATTAATAGATGGCCTTGTCTGTTTTTCCATAAAAGTACTTCACCAGCTAATAAAGGTATACTTGCAATTCAAATTCTTACCAATTAAACAAAATATTTTTGATATTTTCAAATTACAATAAATAGTGTAGTATTTTTTAATTTAGGTTCAGGTAATGATAAAACGTCCACAAGTTCCTAAATAAAAGTATATTTTTTACACATATATTTTTCGAGTATCGTATGTTTTAAAAGGTTTCAACTACTTTTTCAATGGTTTTTAAATGTTTTGTTGAAATGTGCTTAAGAAAATATTTGTTTTTATTACATACTAGATGATCTTTCGGAGGCTGACATAAATTTTTGGTTCATTTAACTAACTTTGATTTTTTATAATACTAGAAAGAGATTTTATGGCAAATATTTGTAATTGAACAATGTTTCTGTGAAGGCTTAGATTGAAAAGAATATTCATCTGTTATACACTATTTTACATTAGCTACGAGGTATTAGAAAGTATCGACTATTAAGGCGAAAATTGTCTGGAAATTTACCTGGCATGGAATGTGGAAAATGGTAGTTCTCAGCGCCGATAGGTCTCGTTCGTCCACGCTGCGCGTAGCAGCCAACGCCCGCGTCATAAGTCACATCTCCACCAGACCAAAACAAGTGGGGGACTTTCCTAGAGGGGGAAAATTAGGGAAGCTATTGTAAGGTTGAATTCATCATTGGAGCTTTGAAAGCCGATTAATATACTTGTTATTAAATTATGTAGGAGTATTAGGTTAGGAGTAAAACGCGTTTGAAAACACATTTTATAATAAAAAACAAAACAATAGGTATAGACTGTGTCATAGAAAAATTAAGCAAAATCAATTTCTTTGTCTAGAAGTAGATGGTGCAGATTGATGCTCCTGCCTCTCGGAGAATTGGTTGACCGCGAGGCAGTACTTCTCTGAATGATAGGTCCTCGATATTTGTGATAGTAATGGACTTCCGTGGGGAGAATTCAACCAGAGTGACGCGCTGCCGGTCTGTCCGACCATCGCGATGAAAGCGATCAGCATTCTCGTGTTCAGTAGACCACGCTGTATCTGGGGCTGCTTCAATAGAGTCTGCAAGATGAGACCGTCAGGTAGACCATTAATCAGTTCAAATACGCTCGAACCTCTCTCTCCCATTAGCCAAGAGGCTGCAGCTGGAACATTACATCCAGTGGACCTCAAAGCATTATCCGCATCATCGTAAGAAAATCCAAGATCTTTTAAAGCAGTAATCGCTTCTGGGTTCGGAGGGTCCATTATTTTCATTCTCCATGCTCGAAATTTTTCTAGAAATCGTTGTAAATGTTGTGCTCGTTTGTATAACTCATCACCGCCATTCGAAGCGCCTGTGGTTATACTGTTCACGTCAGCGGTATTCAGTCTTGCTGCTATTTCTTCCGGAGTTATCACTTGGACTACGATCGGTTGAGGTTTCCTCGGTTCTTCCAAAGCAGCGGTTAGCTGAGCCAACGTTAATTCGTAATTCCTCCCCGCTGCTGCTAATCTAGCTCCGGCTTCGATGAGCGATATGAGGATCTTCCTCAATTCAAACGATAATTCATTGGTGGATAGTAGAGATTGTAGATTTGGCTGACGGACGGGGTTTTGGGGCGCTGGTAGAGTTGCAGTCGCAGCTGTTATAGCGCCGTGTTGAGGCGCTCTCACCGCTCCTAGATCCCAAAGCGTCCCAGCTTCGGGAATTCTCCTCTCAATCAACAACAACTCCTCATACATGACCACCTGTTCTTGACCAAGAGTTAAAAAGTCATGTAGCGTAGTTGTATCACACACTCGTACTATCTTAAATCTCCCAGCTCCAGTTTCTCCGGCCGGATAGAAGTAATCTATAGCACGATTCTTTATTTCCTCTACCAGAGTATCCTCTGGGAAGTAAGCGGTGAACATTTGACCCTCGGGACTGACGATTTTCACCAAAATATCACTACCACCAGTCACTCCTGAATCCGATACCAGCATCTTCAAACTTGTTCAGGTCTATCACGTGTATGTGTATAAGTATCAAGAATAGAAATATACTCGTAAAAAATATTATAAGGCACAATATCAATTTCAACATAATTCTGTCAGCGCTGTCAATTTTGATGTCATGTTTTTTTTATTCGTAAAAAAGTTTCTAATGTAGGTATATGTTTTTTTTTGATTAAGTATATTTGTAATTAGGGTTAGGTGGGGTAAATGTGACATATTAAACCAGTGACTATTTTTTTAATTCTAATAGTAAAATAGTATAAAATGTATATAATTACAATTACAACAGGCTAAAATTTTAAATTATTTGTTTAATTGCAATCAACTCTGATGATAAAGATATTCCTTATTTTTAATTGGATCTGTTATTGCATTTAGCCGGTTTTCAGGGGCAAATGAAATAATTTTGATCTATTTCTCGCGAGAATGGATACTTTTAAGTCAGGGGTAATAGTAAAAAAGCGCAATTTGAACTAACATGGCTTTTTATTTCAAAGAGATCTCATAAAGTTATGAACTCCGTGAATTGTTCGACGCGTAGTTCAAAAAGTAAGTTATAATAATCAGAAATAGCAGCATCAGTAATTTTTAATAGTTGAGCCGTAAGCATACCCTACTTGTACCCCATTAATGAGATCTAAGATTTTCGCGAGTTTTATTCACTTTAATGAAACTAATATTTTCGGATTATACTATGCGACATTATTTTTGTAAAAAACAACATACTCCCGACGTTTCGGCTACTATTCAGCAACCGTGATCATTAAGACGAGATGTGAATGTCCCTCATTTTGGCAATTGAATCACATGACTACCATTTCTTTAGTGCTAAAATTAAAGTAGGTTTTATACCTAAAGAACCTGGTCCCAACATATCCGTAGCCCAGCCCGTCTCCCATCATCAGCTCGAGGAACAGAGCACATGTTAGTGGACAAATCTCAGTGAATAATTCCACGTGAAGATAACCCAAGGACGAGTGGCCGCGAGCTCGCAATTGTATATACACTCTAATATATGAAACAAGAGAGGGTAAAACAGATAAATCTATCTACAACCTACTAAAAGACTTGGGATTGTCCAGAAATAACATTAATTCATTCTTGTAACGTACGTCGAAGGCTGCCCTAGTAGATTCTTTTCAAATTTGGCAGAGAGAGGAACTTGGACAGTGGAGGTGAGCGTTTAACGCGTGTTAGATAAGGCCCCTTAATTAATTAAGTTTATTTAATTAATTAAATAAATTTATTTATATTAGGTTTAAACCTACACCTGGGTCACAAGTCCCAGTCACTGTTGAAGCTCCTCTCACTACAACGATGGACCCGACACAGGCACCGTGAATATATGGAAAGATGAGAGGTTTTCTCATTATAAAGGATGTGTATCAAAGTGTGTTTCTATAAAATCATTAGTCTAGATCTTGTAATGCATTGTGTACGTTGAATACATGATCTCAGTGTGTTTCTACTTTAAATGTATACAATACGAATATCAGCATTTTCTTTACTTCAGTCTGTTTGTTTATCCTGATTAATCTCTAAAACGGCTATACCTATTTTGATTTGCTCTTAACTTCCAGTAAGCTGACATACAAGAGATTGAATAGACTGCATTTAGTTTGGTATTTTTTATTTACTGTTATGCTATTAGTAATAAAAACAGACTATTTAGACGTTCCGAGTCATTGTTTTAGATTTTTTTATGCTATGGCTTCATTCGCACTGGAATCGTGGAATATTTTGCTAATGTTCATAGTTTTAGTTGTCAGTTCGGTAATTTAGGTAATAGTTTTATCTTTAGTCTGTCTTACCTCGGTCTTTTAACGCCATCTGGTGCTTTAAAAGCGGAATCCTCAATGAGCTCGACAGGCGAAGTAGGAAATAGCACAAACTTGTTCTTCGCCGACTTAACAATTTTAACTTTATTTCTGTTCCATTCCTCTATTAAAATTTTCGTTGGAACCACTCTCGGGCCCTTGTACAGATACAATAATTACTTCTTTATAATAAAAACAGAAATTAAATTAAATAAAACCTCTTTTCTACATTAAACATTTTACCAATATAACAATAATTGGTGTGGCAACTTACAGCTTTTTCAATACGTTTGTATATTGCAATATTTTCTTGTACAGTGTTCCTGTAGAAGTGCAATCTGTTCTCATAATATTGTCTGGTAGGATATAATCCTGTTGTCCAATGACTGTCGACTCTGCCCTAAGAAATTTACTAATTTATAATGATCAGGTAAAAGGAGATTAAGTCAGTGGTGGCCTAGTGGTTAACACGCCGCCGCGCGCGAGTGTGTGTGTGTGTGTATACCTAATCTGTAGGGTGTTCATACGATGCGTAATTAATTACATAACTTTTGGTTAACTTTACTTAGAAGTTTATTAATATTTATGTTATATTAATTTTTATTTTGTCATATATGATCGTCAAATATCACGTCCTCAAATATCGATAGTAATTCACCAGTCACCTTGTATACTTTCTGAGAGTATTTAGACATCACTGATTAATGCATTCCCAAAGAGGGTTGATGTCAGGCAGGCCACCGGTCGTAAAAACAATTAGCCAAAACTATTCACCACATGTAAGGCAGACCCTGGCTAAAGCTGGGAAATTGCCAGATAGAAGAGGGAGGTAAAAGGAGACTTTAAAGAAGTTAAAAGCTGCTTACGTTTTCTGGTAATATTTTAATCACTATTCAAATGTGCTTACACTAGGTGTATGGTGACGAATTTTTTGTAGTTTTCATTTATAAATCTTGACACATAGTATTATAATAGATTATTCAATAAGAAACGGGAAACGCAACGCAACGCAAAAACTAAATAAATAAAATCATAGTCTGTTTTAATATTGGAAAAACCGTTTTTTTTACATGCATATTTATATGTATACGGTACATACACTAAAATATCATGTTTTTGTATTATTTTTGTCTTTCTGTCCGTTTGTTCCGGATAATCTCTGGAATAGCTGGACAGATTTTGACGGGACTTTTACTGGCAGGTAGCTGATGTAATAAGGATTGACTTAGGCTACTTTTTATCGCGATCCCGAAATTAAACGTTATCATGCAAGTGGGAGGCAAGGACAATGCGGCCTTTAATAATTCTTCTTTGTTTTTTTACACGGAGTCGCGGGTAACAGCTAGTTTATAATATTCAGTGAATCTATCAATAACATACATTTAAAGTCTATTAATAACTAAATTTTATATTTTAATGTTAGCTTCAAAATGTCCAAGATGTATGTAGTATGATAATTCATAATAACAATTATATTATTGTAGTCAAATTATTAACCCAACGTTAATATTTTAAAACATTATTATTGCAAGAAATTTTATCGTTTTAAGTGAAGTAACTGGAAAATAGCGATAAATATAACTTTGTAAGAACGTCCATTTTAGAATATATGCATACAAAGAAATAATATTTTAATCTATTAGATATTATAATTATATAAAAAAAAATATATAACATACTCCATTCATATAAGCAGAGCTTATAGCGAACAGCATTCGAGCGTTCTCCATATAAAGATCTCTTGTACGTTGGACCCATTCCGGTATTGAGCGGAACATTCGTTGTGTGTCGTAAGATGGCGGCGAACTATCCACGATAGCTTTGACATTTCTGTACTGGTAATAATAAAATGAATTAATTATTAATATTTATATAGATTATAGGTTAAAACATGAGATTAATTGTGTATTTCTTTAAGCAAACATGTCTAAAAGTATAAGGTTCTTTTAGTTTCAACTAGTTTAAAATGTTAGAACATTAGTGAATAATATATGAATTAAAAAACATTTTAATTCTGTTGTATAGTTATATACATATGTATGTGCTTGTTATTTCTGCATAAGTGAAATGTCTTAAAAACTTCTATCTATACTATAATAAAAATAATACCGTAAAATTGTATAATATGTACGTCTTAACAAAGTTACCTTGTAAAATCTTTTTCTTTTCTTTCGTATCAATTTACTTTCTTCTATTTCTGGAGGCGGTGATGTATATTTACGTTTACTTGTTTCTTTTGTCTTTGCTCTATTGAAAATTGCTCCAATTAAAGTCATTATTAAGATTTTGTATCAGAAATATCCAAAAAATATTGACGATAAATTTAATCTATTAGGCTGATTCACGTTTATAAAAAGGTTAATGAATTTAAAATATATGTTTTTCTTAATAAATAATTAAAATAATAATTTTTATTATTGTTATGATTGAATATTTAATAAATATAAATTAGATTATAATTCATGAATTATTTCGTAAATCTTAGTCTGTTGAAATGCTTGGCCGCTAGATGGCGCTAATGTTAATAAGCGTCAATATAATGGCGCCAAACGTTTAAGATTTTGACAAAAAAGTGATTGGTGCGTTTGTTTTAAGCTGAGCTTTGCATTTATGTGAGTGCACACGGATAGTGTAGGTGTGATGTAAAATTTTTGAAAGCCACGTTCTTTTTTAGTTTTGAACCGGTTTATTTTGCTTTTACTCCGCCCCGCCCCTTCCTCACTTCATCTTTTGTACCGGTAGCAACGTCAAATGTAGAAAACGCTATGCCAATTGAAGAATTCGTATAGTTTTTTTACATTTCTATTAATTATTATATTTTTTTCATAATTCGATCTGAATTTTCACAACTTTTGCTTATTTTATTTTTAATCTAGAATAGCTCTCACACTTATGTTATGTATCTATTTAAAATATAACAAAATTTAATTCTGAAAGTTTTTTTTGTCTAACTATATTTTTACTCACAGAAATGCAAAAGCTCAGCTTAAGTCTAATGGGCTAATAAAACAAGCGATAATATATAAAAACGTATAATTTAAAATGCATATCACAACAAAAAATCACAAAAAAACATTGAAAATTAATTATAAAATACTAAATATGGTTACAATATTAATACTTGGAATGTGACTAGCTTAAAAAGCAAAGAACAAACTTATACATAATGAGATCTTTAGTTTGTTATGTGAAATCAAAATGAATTAAGGAAAGGTAAGGTGAGGTAAGGTAAGTAATACTTTATTAATACATAATTATTGAAGATTACATAATGTTTGTATACATCATATGTATATACTTGAATAGTACATTCAATTTTGTGCCTACACAAGTATAGTGATAAATTTTAATATTATTCAGTTATTTTTATATTTAATAATAAAATGTTTTTAGATGTAATGTCTAATATATAAAAAATAGCATATATATATGAGTGTATTTTAATCAAAAGCATATATTTAGGTGTCATGGTAAAAAGTATGCTAAAGCCAATTATTAATATATAAAATCATATTTATTTCTAGTGTCCTTACTACAAGTGTGTGTCACATTAAAGACTGACAGAATCGAGTTTCCTTCATAAATCGTTGTTTGTTCTATGAGAAACTATAAACGCCGTGTATATAGTGTGACGATGAAAACTTGTAGTGTATTTGAGATTGTGCGATCATGTGTCAGTGTTTGTGTTTGTTCGTTGTGTGTGAGTGTATGTATAGTGTTTATGCTTGTGTGTGTGTGTGTGAGTGTGTGTAGGCTTTAATAGCGTGTTTGTTTTTGTGTTTGTATATGTATGTGTGTTTATATGTATGTATGTATAGTGATTGTGAGTATATATGTGTGTTTTATAGTGCCTGAAGGTGTGTGTGTATGTATATATTTATAGTATCTGTGTGAGTATATGTAGTATAGGTATTTATGTGTGTATGTGTGAGTGTCTGTGTGTGTGTATGTGAGTGTGTTCGTCGTTCACTGTCTCTGTCGTAGCGCGGTGTGTGGTCTGGGCACGGCGGACGCTGCCCGCGCCAGTCGGGACCCTCTCCCCGACACAGATGAGTATGATAAGTAACGATCTGATAGATCTGGTGGCTCGTGATGCTGGGAAGTAAAGTATTGATTAACTTACAACTTGTATAATAAGACTGTATACAACTTTATACAACTGTATATAACATATATATTTGTTTCACTTATGTTATATGATATATTAATTTTGCACAATTGGGTTTTTGAATTATTTTTTTTTTTGTGATAAATGAAAAGATTATATATAAGTTTAATAACAAAACTATTTTTATTTTATTTTTTTTTGCAATATTTAAAAAGTTATTTCAAAATAAAAATTAAATTTTAAATTCAGTACCGAAGACAAGCCGACAGCTCGTGAATAAACCCGAGCGCGTGTGACGTCACAATGTTAGTTTTTGCTCATTGTAGCATACAGAGATATAATAATTAGTACAGTGTTTTGAGTTTTTATCTAGTAAATTCTGTTGGCATTGTTAAATAATCAAAAGTTTTGTACCATTATGTACAAAGACTACAAAAACAACTCCTGAAAAAATGTTTTTAAATGTTCCACAAGACGAAAAACGTCGAAAGAAATGGTTTCAAGCAGTGCATCGAGATTATTCAAAAACAAAATCATTTTTTTTTTGTTGTGAAGATCATTTCGTTGTAAGTTTTCATAATAGTATTGTTATTAATTATTATTTATCTAAGTGTATAAATCGAATAAGTATAGTTCAATAATTAATTTTTTTACCTGGGCTCCAAATCATAACCTTTAGAATCGTAGCATTAAAAAATTTTAATTGATAATTCAAAGCGATTAAATAGTAAATCTATATATATGTTTGTCTAATAATTGGACTTCAATTAATAGATATTTTCATAATTTTATAACATTCTAGGTTCTGTATCAGACTACATTTAAATTTTTAAAGTATATGTTATTTTGGTTTTTTATAATGTTATAATAACATTTTATTAATAATGATTTAATGAAATAATTATTAATTATATTTAATAGAGAATAAATACTTATTTTCATTTAGAATAGTATTTTTTAACAGACTTACCTTGATGCCTTATCACCTCGAACTTCAGCAGAATTAAACCGAACGTCATTTTTTAAAAAATTTGTTATCATAAATATATCAACATCAGGAATATTATCCGATTTTGCTTTTATAAATCCTTTATCATAGTCGAAATAAACTTTTCAAATCGTTTTTCACTAATAAATTTGAGATATTTTTATCAAGTTAAAGATAATAGCCATAAACACTGTACTATTATGAAATTGCTTTAACATTATGACGTCACAAGTATGCTGACCAATCATGGCGCGTTTACAGTCACGTGATATATTTTTGAATTTGATCAATTTTTAATTGTTTATAATTAATTAAAAAAAAATATTTCAAGTTTTTTGCATTAAAAATCCAATATAATTAATAATAAAGTTTTAAAATACATAAAAAAAATCAATACTTTTTTTTTTTTCAAAAACCCAATTCAATATCATTTTATATTTATATAGAAAAAATATCTTGTGCTGTTCCGGAATTTATATATAAATATTTTTTTTCATACTTATATATGTATTACAACTTAGTAGAAATTAAAAAACAAAATTTAACTACATAGTTTTGAGACTATTAAAAAAACATTTTTTGTTAACAAAAACTTGCTGATGTAGATTTTAAATTAACCAATCTATAAGATCTCTATATTAATATAGTTTACTAGCTGACCCGGCAGACTTCATACTGCCTCAATCAAGAAATATATTAATCCTTAATTATTTTTCTGGAGTTTACCTTTAAGCCATAAATGTCCGTGTTCTAAAGTGCGACAGAATGATTGACATATTAGTTAGTTGTCAAATCTAATGTCAAAAAACCCGTTTGTATGGGAAATAGAAAAGCGCTGTTTTTAGAGTTTTCCCAGAAATTAATTTTTTTTCCAGCTTTTATACCTTCCCTGAACCTCCACGAACATTTCAAGACTAAGATAAAATAAATCCGTTCAGCTGTTCTCGAGTTTTAGCGAGACTAAGGAACAGCAATCCATTTTCATATATATAGTATATATGTACATACATGGCTCTTGGCGGCTGGTGGTCCGGGCGCCATATTGTTTCCGGTGTAAGCCACACACCTCACTTGCCATTCACCCAACTGTTCGTTCCAATGCACGTATTGCTCAATCAGCGCCTGGAAAATTATTTACAAATATTATTATTTTATATAGAGACGAAATTTATCATTCCATGTATTTTTTGGTGTCGGGCCCATAATTATAGTGAGAGAGGCTTCAACAGTGACTGTGATTTGTGACCCAGGTTTAAAGGTTCTATCTAACCCGCGTTAAACGCTCACCTCAACCGTCCAAGCTCCTGTACTAACTAAATTTTAAGTACAAATATCCTTATTTAATCCGAAGATATATAGTCGGATATAGTACAAATCCGCGAAACTAGCATTGGATAATTCCGCGTATCTACATTGGAAGCAGATTATCAGAAGAAAGTTTAAGCTGAAATATTTTCTATATTACGATTTTTGAAATATTTTTTCACAATTAGTAATTTTAGTGTTTAATTTATTTTGATATCTCTCTAATCAAATCCTCGAATATATCCCGACTCCGTCACCTTGTAATATCTGTTCAATATGCCCCTATCTAACGTTAAACACTCAAAACTCCTCTCCTAACAAAAATTCCGAACATATATCGTTATATAACAAATTGATGTATTAAAATGCAATATTAAATCTTTTAAACATACGATACACTTAATACTCTTAACCGAAACTTGGATAAGATCAGAGAAAGATGCATTTACCCTTAAAATACCGAATTATACACATGTTTATAATCTTAGAACTGATCCAATCAAATCCTCGTATTCATCCCCACTCCTTCACCTGGTACTCCCTGGGTATATAAGCGTCGAGCACTATCTCTGCCAGCTGTAGTTCTCTTCTCAGCGCCCTCACACCATCAAGTATTCCCTCCATTTCCCTCTGTTGTTCGCGCTGCTGGTCAGCCAGCTCAGCTTTAGCTGAATTCAACAGCTGAACAGCTCGTTTTAGCTTGCGTGTCTTAGCTGTGTTCTCTTCTTGCAAGCTGGAGTAACGCTCTTCCAGGTCTAAACGTTCCGCCTGGAATTTTAGAAGTTAATCAGATATATTATGTTTATGATCATAACTTCAGCATGCTTTTGGAGATAAATCTTAAGATTAAGGTATCTTTGTTGGAATCAATTATTGTTTTGTTGTATAGTTGTTTAAGGTGAAAATAACAATTATTTAGGAAGAAAGATGATTGATACCAAAAATGATATTACAGTCTAATTACATAGTCAAATAGAACAATAAAAACTATGAAATAAAAGATAATAATAATAAAAAGATAAAACATGACTTAAAAATAAGACATTTATATTCAATACACCTGTCAAACATGTATTTAACACCTGGAATTACCTCCTTCTTCTGCAAATCATCTCTCAGTCGTTGTTCGTTCCTTGCTCTTAATTCCAGCTCTTTAGCAGCTGTTTCCAGAAGTCTTCTTTGACAGTCTGCCTTATCCAGCAGATTCTCTCCTCCAACTAAAACCTTGGATTCCAGGCGTTGCAGCTTATCGCGTAATTCCTCCTGCTGTTTCCTGGTAATCAAAAATATAAGGAATTTTAGTTCTATCCCCATATAAAATGGCTTATATTTTTTTCACCATTATAATAGGTTGTTTTAGCATGGGATAATCTACATAAGAAAATAAGATTTATATGCTGTTTTTATAAATAGTTTGAGATTAATAATAAGTATTCTTCTACTATAAATAATAATATTATAGAAGTATAAAAAGCGAAGGAGACTTTCTTTCTTTCTTCTATTTATGGATTGAAAAATTTTCAAAATCTATACATAATCAATCGCTCTAAAAAATATTTTTTTTTATATTTAAGGGACTCCTATCTAACGCGAGTAAAACGCTCACAAAAGTATTATCTGTTTCAAACCGATATTTCTTCAAATTAAAACATTCAAACATAAGTTCTATAATATAAGTATAGTTATGTACTGATCTAAATTCCCAAAGAGGGTTGATGTCAGGCAGGCGGCCGGTCGTAAAAACAATTAGCCAAAACTATTCACAACATGTGAGGCAGACCCTGGCTGAAGCTGGGAAATTGCCAGTAAGAATAAGATGTTATGTACTGATCTAAAGCCCATTATTCATTATATATACTAACTTAGTTCGTTGTAGTTCCGCCTTTTTCTCTTCAAGAACCTTCCTTGCTTGATGTACTTTCTCCTGGTTCAATTTCTCCTGAAAATATATATACAATACAAAAACCGTTATTTTCATGATGGTTCTAATTATAATGGACAACACTATTTAACTCTATCTTCTTTTAGAACATACATATATATTATATCCCTACTAATAGTATAAATGCGGAAGTAACTCTGTCTGTCTGTCTGTTACGCTTTCACGCCTAAACCACTGAACTGATTTTAATGAAATTTGGTACAAACAGAGTTGACCTTGAGAAAGAACATAGGATAGTTTTTATCCCAGACTTTTGAAAGGTTCTCTTGGAAATGCGATATAACCGAACTTCACGCGGACGAAGCTGCGGGTGGAAAGCTAGTTATACAATAAAAAAAACTTTTTTTTCATTACCTTCTCTTCTCTCCTAAGTCTCTTTTCCATTTTCTTTTCTTCTGGGTCCAGTGCATCTAACTCCGAGTCTGTCAGAGTATCATCTGATAATTCTGATAATTCTTCTTCACCCTCTTCTTCTACCTCTGAAGATACATATATTATTCTATATTATTTATGATTTAATACGTTGCTTTGTTATATATCTTTATATGTATAATTCTTCTGTGAGTGTGTATGTCACTGAACTTTTCTCAAACGACTGGACCGATTTTGATGAAATTTTTTGTGTGTGTTCAAGGAGATCTGGGAATGGTTTAGATTCACAATTTTGTCCGCTGGACAATGTTTTTTTAATTAATTTTTAATTTATTAGTAGTGGTTGATACAAACGTTTTTTTTTTTACATTAGATTTGACAACTAACTAATATGTCAATCATTCTGTCGCACTTCAAAACACGGAGATTTATGGCTTTAATAGGTAAACTCCAAAAATATAAATAAAAAACGTAACAGATATTTCTTGATTATAGGGCGATACGAAGTTCGCCGGGTCTTCTAGTATGTATATATATTTTTTGTGAATGCATGCTGAGTTAGCCTTTAATTGTATTGTACTTTGTAAGATCATTATACATTATGTTGGCTTCCTAATAAAATAAATAAATAAATATAGTTATATCCCTACTAATATTATAAATGCGAAAGTAACTCTGTCTGTCTGTCTGTCTGTCTGTCTGTCTGTCTGTCTGCTACGCTTTCACGCCTAAACCACTGAACTGATTTTAATGAAATTCGGTACAGAGATAGAGTTGACCTTGAGAAAGAACATAGGATAGTTTTTATCCCAGACTTTTGAAAGGTTCTCTTGGAAACGCGATATAACCGAACTCCACGCGGCGAAGCTGCGGGCGGAAAGCTAGTATACTATATGAAGTATTAATAAATCAAAATAAATTCAAAGTTAAATTCTTTGTAGTATCTTGAAATGTATGCGAAATTAGCTTTAGAAGGAATTTATTGACGCACACGAGATATGTAAAGAAAATAAATCTCAGGATAACCAAATTTAAGCTCTGTTAAAATTATTTGTAATTTATATCTTAAAGTTCCTCGGATATAAATAAACGAACATATACATCGTCGAAGTGTTGATATAATATTAGTTGAAGGTGAAAATAATATTAAATATTTTTTTGTATGAACAGTCATCAGAGTTATCGATTCGGTATAAAAAAAGCATTTTTGTTAATCATATTTAGTTATCTAAATTATATTCAAAGAGACTTCCATTAAAATACTCTAACACCAAAAACCACAATGAACTAAAGAAATATTAACTAGGAATAATTAATTTTACTTACCGTTTGTATTTTCCTCCAACTGCTTTTTGAGTTGATCTATTTCTTGTTGGAATCTGTTCAAAACAAAATATTAAATATTATTTAACCACAGATACTTTTGAGGACTATACAATATAAGGTATTGTATTCTTTACTAGTATTTGCCCGCGATTTCGTTCGCGTTAATTTCGGTATTAGTAATATATGTATAGCTGACCGGGCAAGCTCTATTCCACCCTGAAGACCATAAATAGCCAGATATTGGAATTTATTAGGCTTTATAATTCTTTTTTTATCGAACCTAATTAAATATCCTAAGTCCGTCACCTTCCCAACAATCTTCAGCCGAATCCGTACAGTTTTTGAGTTATAAATGGTGCAACTAACACAAATTTATTTATATATAAATAAGTTTTTGCAAGCAACTTCGTCTGCGTTAATATAAGAAATAGAAATGTATATCTGACCGGGCGTAGTCTATTCCTTAAAGACAGTAGATAAGAAGACTTTGGATTTGATCAACTTATTTTTTTTTCTCCATCAGATGAATAGTATCATGTTTTTTCTATGTTCTAATCTATCTCTCTACTAATTTTTATCGGTTCTTGAGTTATAAATAGTGTAACTAACACGACTTTCTTTTATATATAAAGATTACTATCTTTTGCCCCCGAATTAGTCTCTGTCAGTATCAGATTTTTTCAGCTGACCATGCGATCTGTTACTTTAGAATTAAATATCCTATTTCCGTCTCCTGATTGCAAACTACCTCTCCAAAAATTTCCATCCAAACCCGTTCAGTCGTTCTTGAGTTATATATAGTGTAACTAACACGACTTTATATATAGTACCTAGTAAGTAGCGCGTCTCCCGGCTCACTATTCACGTGCGTCTTATTCTCGATGTTCTTCGCCCTGTTCGCGTATCTCAGAGTGCTAATAGTTTCAACGTAATTCGTCTCCGCTGGTCCCACCGTCGCTATCTGTATTTGGGACATTCATATGTAAAGGTCAATTGATTCGAGATATATATAGAAATTGTATTTTCTTAGTATGTAATATAATATGTAGTTTATTAAGTATGAATGTGGGTGGCAAAGAAATTTTTTGATGATCCCTTAGATGTTTTTCGACTTAGAAGAGAGAGCAAAGAAAAATTATGCATGTAAAAATTGTATTTTTATATGAAATCCTAGTCTTTTATGCAATTTATACATTTTTAAATGATATCGAATCCTCATTTCGATGACCCATGACCGTGATTACCGTAATAATTCAAATATTAAGGTTTACATAAATATGTAATAGCTAGATGAATGAATGACGAGACGTCACCTCTCATCATTCAATGTATTCACGGTGCGTGTGTCGGGTCCATCGTTGTAGTGAGAGGAGCTTCAACAGTGACTGTGACTTGTGACTCAGGTGTAGGTTAAAGGACCCTATCTAGCGCGTTAAACGATCACCTCCATCCAAGCTCCTCTCTCTACTAAATTTAAAACGAACCTACTAGGACTGCTATTGAAATATTCTCAGAATGAATTGATATTAATTCTGGAGAGGCCCAAGTTTTGTAGGGTAGAATACGTAAAATTTTAAAGAACATTTGTTATATTTAAACTATCAAGAGGTTTCTGTAGTAGAAAGTTACTCACCATAACAGTTTTGGAGTTTCCTCCCAAAGAATCCTGCAGTAATCTAGTCAATTTGGAGTTCCTATAAGGTATATGCGTGGACTTTCCATCAACCAACGCTGATATTACGTTGCCAAGTACAGATAGTGATTGATTGATTTTTGTAGCTTCCTTTAGACGTGTTCCTGTAGCTTGCGTTTTACTCTGGCGTTCAGAACCCTGGAAGAAACATTAAGCTGCTTTAAAGCGATGATGTTTTATTGTAGCGAGAGTAATATTTAGCTTGAGACTTGCTTCAAGCGCTTAATAGCTGTAAGTGCAGCTTTAGAACTGCAGAATTAAAATTAAAGGAAATTCTGCTTTATTATATTATATATAATGGCTATTTTTGTCTAAACACCTAATGTATTTACTATGTATTGAATCTTAACAGTTTAAATGCTATTTTTGGGCTTAAACGAAGAAAGGGGAATCAAAATCAGTTTCATTACAGAAAATCAAATGAATTTCAACCCACAAAAATATCATTATACAATACTGCTTTTCCCGCGACTTCGTCAGCGTGGATTCCGACATTATGCTCAGAGAAATATTTAAAGTGTATTAAAAATATTTTCAACCTTACCGCCAGATCCACAAGGTGTAGTTTCCCCATCTTAACATGCATCTTCCCGTCCGCGCCACGCTTGCTGTTCTCTACAGTTATAGAGAAGATAGCGTGGCTTCTAGAACTTTCTATGTTCATAGCTGTAGCGCCGATGTGTCTGTTCTTATTACCGACAGCCATAATCTTCTCGAGTTCATCAGCATTATGGACCACATATCCTATATATAACTTAATCTATTTAGCTATTCAAATATATATACTAGCTTTCCGCCCGCAGCTTCGCCCGCGTGGAGTTCGGTTATATCGCGTTTCCGAAAGAACCTTTCAAAAGTCTAGGATAAAAACTATCTAATATTCTTTCTCAAGGTCAACTATATGTCTGTATCAAATTTCATTAAAATCAGTTCAGTGGTTTAGGCGTGAAAGCGTAACAAACAGACAGACAGAGCTACTTTCGCATTTATAATATTAGTAGGAAGTAGGAATATTACTTAATTCATAAATTCGGTAGCTTCATGGACATTATAAGCTGAAATTTGATCCTCTAGAAGTTACTAATTCCAATCCTGCTTTTATCAATGAATTTTTAAATGTTATTTTCTCTTTAAAAATTGAGATTACGAATGGATGGTATTCCTTAATAATAAGTTGTTTTGAGTTGAATTATGTGCACGTGTTAATCATTATTACACACACACACACACACATTTCTACTGACCAGTGAGATCTTTAACGAATACGCCGATGTCTGGCCTTTCCTTGACCTCCAAGCTCTGGTGAGGATTGTTCCCGAGAAGGTCGCGGACCTCCTCGTTGTAAATTTCCAAATACGTCACACATACCAAAAACCTGCAATATATATCAGCATATATATAGATATATGTATACGGACATATGCTACACTAGCTTACTAGCTATATCGTGTTTCCAAGAGAACCTTCCAAAAGTCTGGGATAAAAACTATCCTATGTTCTTTATCAAGGTCAACTCTATATCTGTACCAAATTTCATTAAAATCCGTTCAGTGGTTTAGGCGTGAAAGTGTAACAGACAGACAGAGTTACTTTCGCATTTATAATATTAGTAGGGATTATGTATTAGAAGTCTTACGAAGGATCAATTTTAGGAATAGCGAACAGTGGATCTTGATTCACTTTAAGAAGTTCTGACATCACATAAATTGCTTTTTTATGGATATCATTCTTCTATTTTATTCCTAAACTAAGTTTCATGAACGTAATTTGTACTTATATTAAAAAACAAACAAAAATGTCCTTGAATGGACTTGAAAAACAGAAATTCTAAGAACCTCAATAATGATGTCAAATTAAAGATATTTGCACTCTTAAATGATTTAAAACGTCACAGAAAAACTATCCAACAACTGTTGAAACCTACCAAAAATAAAAAAAACTTGCGGTTTTACTAACGAAATAGGCCTATAAATTTCTATATGAACTTCTTCTTCTTCTACCTGGCAATTTCCCAGCTTTAGCCAGGGTCTGCCTTACATGTTGTGAATAGTTTTTGTGAACCCTCTTTGGGAATGCATTAATCATTGATGTCTAAATACTCTTAGAAAGTACATATGACTCGGAAAAATCACATTGATACTTGCCCGGGCCAGGATCGAACCCGCGCCCTCGTGAATGTGAGGCGGGCCTTTTAACCACAAGGCCACCACTGACTTGAATGAACTATCTATCATAAACATTATAGTTCTTGTTATACTAACTTCTCATCGTCCTTGGATTTCGCAATATGACTGAATATATGAGCGAAAGAGTTAGGTATGATGCCGCGAAGCTCAGGGGCTGAGTTGCTGCCAGCCATCGTGTAAGTCTTGCCTGTACCAGTTTGACCATAGGCGAAGATAGTCCCATTATACCCACGTAGAACTTGTTCCACGATGGGGCTAGCCGTTTGGATATATATATCCATCTGTAAAAGGAAAAAATACTGATAAGTACCAGACAGTTCAACTAAAATTTGTTATTCTTAGGTTACGCTCAAGTTAAACAATGCTAGGTCTCTATAAGAGTCAGGTATCCAGAATAGGTTGACACATGATATTAATTATCATTTAAATTTTTATGGACCTATTTGTAAAAATATATACGAAAACGATACATTTCATGCATGGTGATAGAATGGTTGCCAAATTTTCGAGCAAAAATCTTCTATATGTATATATATTTGCAAAACAATTTGTGAATCATAAACTCTAGATAGATAGCATTCGTGCTTACGTGTACTATTAAAATAAACTTGATTAATTTTTAATATAAATTCAATGACGTCATTCCTTTATAAATCATGAATAGAAGTAGAATAGAATATAGAATAGAATTTCATGATGAATTAGGCAAGTATAGTTTAACGAGATAAATATATAGAATTCTAGTAAACTAGACAATTGAAAGATCACCATATTATACTAGGCACAATTTTTCTTCCTCTAAAATAAACGACACACGAAATTATCTTCTATCATAAATTAAAAGGATTTTATTTTTTTATCTTATAGCTTCTTTCATACTGAAATCCTGCAATATTTAACCGATATCAACATTTTTTTTATTGGATAATAGGTTTTTAATACAATAAATTATTTGTTGCACTAATATCTATCGAACGTCATTTTTATCAATGGTTTTAGAGGCTATGCTACTACAATATTGTCAAATATAAGAAATAATTCAAGCTATAAAATTCTTCTATAGAGTAAATTACTGAAGAAGCTTGTCAGATTGTCTCTTATTCTCTAAATAATAATAGAAAAAATACGAAAATATGGTAAATTTCCTGTTTTATATAATAGGTAAGTTACCAAAGAAATTATTGGAAAATTTAAAATATGTATATTGAATCTTAAAAAATACTATGCTTTTGATGAGAACATTGAATTATGAGATCATTCCTACATATATGATTTTATGCAAATATTCTCATACAACGTCGCTTTAAGTCACGCAGAACAGAGTGAAGTTTTATATAGTACTAGCTTTCCGCCCGCAGCTTCGCCCGCGTGGAGTTCGGTTATATTGCGTTTCCAAGAGAACCTTTCAAAAGTCTGGGATAAAAAATATGTATCTCTGTACCAAATTTCATTGAAATCAGTTCAGTGGTATAGGCGTAAAACCGTGACAGACAGACAGAGTTACTTTCGCATTTATAATATTAGTAGGGATTTACAATCATCGTAGTTTGTTATATCTTCTTTGGATTAAATGACAATTCCTTACAAATACCTATATTACTATTGGTAAGGATTTATTGACAAGTTTAGCTTATGACCATCAGTTTTTCGTATGCTATGCATTTATTACTATGCTATATTTACATATTCCCGACGTTTCGGTTACTTTACATCGACCGTGATCACGAAAATGAGATAAAAGTGTCTGTCAGTTGGTCTTGTTATTTGTCATCTACCGAAAACGATTTCTTTTTAACAATTAGGGATTATTTAGCTAAAACATAATAAAAAAAATGAAGTATCCGAAAAGCTTCCTATATTTTCTTCAGATAAAAATAACTCAAAGTCAAGAGACATTATATTTTTAATTTCACGGTCTTGTAACTTAATGAGCTTTCTTTACCAAAAAATATTTCTTGCATAAACTCAGTTTTATCCCTTGGTTTTGTAATAATAATAAATTATTCATTTGAATAGCAAAAAACTAGTAATAATACCAAAAAAACACATTTTATTCTTTTGAAATTAATTAAGGTCGAGTAGATATAGTTTTTAGGTCACGGGTTAAGTCTTACTGACCTAGCTTAGACACATACATAATTATCAAGAACTATTCTAGCCTTTAAAGACTAATTTTAGTAGATTCCCAAAAAAGAAAGTCCTTTTAAGTCATGTTAAAATAGATATATGTTGAATTGCGTCATGAAATACAAATTACGGGGATATTTTTTTGGAAAATTAAAATCTAGTAAAATGATAATCAAATTTAACCCAAAGTCAATATAAATTATAAATATCTTTGTATTACCAATATAGGTATAATGCTTAATCTTATACATTATAAAATCACGTAGTTTGTGTTATAGGCTAAAACTTTGCCATATAAATTCTTCTTCTTCCTGTCTATTTCCCAGCTTTAGCCAGGGTTTGCCTTATGTTGTGAATAGTTTTGGCTAATTGTTTTTACGACCGGCCGCCGTAGACATCAACCCTCTTTGGGAATGCATTAATCAGTGATGTCTAAATACTCTTAAGTACATATGACTCGGAAAAATCACATTGGTTTCCAGGATCGAACCCTCATGCATCATTGCCATGTAATTTGTAAGAAAGAAAGTAAATTCAATTTTTATGGAATAAAATAGATTTTTTCATAAAAAACCTATATTTCTATCAAAATACTATATAAATTCATGTTTAATAATGATTATATAGGAATGTTAATAATTTTAGCTATGTTAAAGTACATTCGGCTGTTCCAAATATCTTTACGAAGCCTTTTCGTGTCACGGTAACTCCCAGGTACCGAAGTGGGTCATGACCTGATATCCTAGCACAATTCACGAGAAACGTGGCTTACGTTATATAGAATTATGTACATATATGCTAGTTTTTTGCGATGGCTTTGCCTGAACTTCTAAATTGGACGTAAAGACAAATGTATAAGCATAATTCTTGACAAAAATTAGGTACATAATATAGATATGTATATAATATACTATAGTCAGTGGTGACCTAATGGTTATAAGTCCCGCCTCTCAAGCACGAGGGCGCGGGTTCGATCCCCGCCTTGGCTAATGCTGGGAAATTGCTAAGTTATGTATATATGTACCATATTAGTTTGTCGTGATGAATTTGTCCGTGTGGACTTTAGAATTGGATTTTAAGTATTTCGATCTAAGATTTTCGCGAGTTTTATTCATTTAAATGAAACTAATATTTTTCGGATATACTACATTATTTTCATTACTTAACTACCTCATTACATTACTACAAAATAACTACTGTTGCTAAAAAGTAGCCGAAACGTGGGGAGTATGTAGTTTTTGTTACTTTAAACTTTACAATTATTATGCAGTGACCCAGCAGGAGTTACAGTATGTTCCGGGATAATTTACGGCCCATATCTTATTCTATCGTCGTAACTATATTAAAGTGAAATTTAATCAAAATCGGTTAAGTGGTTTCTGCGTGAAGAAGCAACTATACTCACAGACTTTCGCAAAAACACGAATAAATTAAATTTGTAATACAAAGAGGAATATGAGCGTACATATCTACTTTATGTACCCAGATATAGAACATATTTGGTTTGTATAGAGATTCATGTTAAATAGATTAAATGATAAAATTACGATTATTACTGTTACCAAAAAGCGATATTATATTTGTACCAAAAGTAATGAAAATCCAGTAAAATATATCTTATATGTATCACTACTGTATGTGAATTTATATATAGAATTTTCAATTATACAGGGTGACTGGTGAATTACTATCGATACTTGAGGACGTGATATTTGACGATCATATATGACAAAATAAAAATCAATATAACATAAATATTAATAAACTTCTAAGTAAAGTTAACCAAAAGTTATGTAATTAATTACGCATCGTATGAACACCCTACAGATTAGGTATACACACACACGCACACATACGCGCGCGGCTTCGTGGTGTTGTATCAGCACGCCGCCGCACGCGTCCACACTTGAAACACTTGGAACGTGTCAACACTTTATTTATTTATACGGAAATTTTGTCAAAAATTAAGTACCTATTTTTTTTACATAATTCGAATGAGAATCATGTACCGAGTATTCTCCTTAAATATCGATAGTAATTCACCAGTCACCCTGTATATTCGATGTTGAAAAAATCGCAACAAAGAAAACCTTCCAAAAATATTTGAGATTTGCCAAAACCAAGTATGCGAGCGAAATCCTAAGAAAATTTCTACTGAATCTAAGTCATTGCGATGAACAAAACCAGAATTAATTGATTAAAGATATATAGATGTTACTAGCTTTCCACCCGCAGCTTCGCCCGCGTGGAGTTTGGTTATATCGCGTTTCCAAGAGAACCTTTCAAAAGTGTAGGATAAAAACTATCCTATGTTCTTTCTCAAGGACAACTCTATGTCTGTACCAAATTTCATTAAAATCTGTTCAGTGGTTTAGACGTGAAAGCGTAACAGACAGACAGAGTTACTATCGCATTTATAATATTAGTAGGGATTAACGAAGTCGTCATCAGCCTATCAGCGGCCACTGCTGAGCAAGGCTTCTTTCTCACATGGAGAAGGTTTGAGCATTAATCACCACGCTTGCTCAAGACGGGTTGGTGATTTCAAACTTATAATTGTGAATCTATAAGTAAAGGTTTCTTCACGATGTTTTCCTTCACCGTATGTATAATAGGGAATATAATAATAACGAAGTATAATACATAATATAATTAATAGACCTGGAAAACCAGTTTCAGCTGTTCTAAATCAAAACATCTCATCATATTAAGCAAGTTCCGTAGCAAGGCACTGCTTAATCAATATCTATCTGCAATAGTGAAGTAGGTTAGTAGTACAGGGGTAGCCGCGCGGATGGGATGCGCGATGCACCTATCGATTTTACCCTCTTACCCCCCCTCCCGTTACCCTCTTACCCCTCACGTTACCCTCTTACCCCTCCCGTTACCTTCACACCCTCGGGGTCACGCCAGCCAACGAAATATTATCGTGATGAAATATTTACGTACTCAATGTTTGTAAATGCTGAATTTTTTTTATGGTTGACGTGATTTTAACAAATTTCATTCAAAATTGCGAAAAAAATAATGTTTTTTGATGTATATGTTTATAGAAAAAAATATAAGGTTTAAGTGACTATCAAATGATGAGAGCAGGAAATACTATTGCAATAATTATTACGATAATTTTAATATGTACGAAACAAAAATATAT